AGCACAAGCAGGGGAGGGGCAGAGCGAGAAGGAAACACATAATCTGAAGCAGGCTCCAGGCTCCGAGCTGTCAGCACACAGCCTGATGCAGGGCTTGAACACACAAACTGTGAGATCATGACCTGAGCTGAAGTTGGACGCTTAACTGACTGAGCCACTCAGGCACCCCAGGGATTGTCCTTTTAAATTTAATCTCCTGATTGGGAAGCAGAAACAGCCATCCAGTATAGGTGAATTAACAGTCTCATGGATTTTACTTAGGGGTAACTTTAGAAATGAGACTAAAAGGGGCACCTGGGTGACTCAGTCAGTTGAGTGTCTGATTTCAGCTCAGGTCACCATCTCACAGTTCATGGGTTTAAGCTCCGAGTCGGGCTCTCTACTGACAGCTTGGAGCCTAGACCCTGCTTTGGATTCTGTGTTCTGCGGACTTCCGATGTTAAATCCTGACCCATAGATATTAGACCTAGCCTTCTCATACGAATTTCAGAACATCCAGCCAATTCGCATAAGGATAAATACAAATAGGGCAGATGATTAGATTCAAGGCAGATAAAACAAAGCTTCCTTGGGAGAAATCATTTATATTATTTGTCCAATCTTTTTTGCCCTCCCGTTTGGCGTCTTATCTGCAACTAAAATGAGAACTGAAATCACTAGCTTTAATAACATCTTCAGACATAGCCATACATCTGTGTGTACTTTGGTTTGGAGGAGAACTGGTTCATGGGGACATTTATGTGGGCAGAGAAATATCTTCATTTATTGAAATGTTCCTAGCAACCGAAGTTTGTTTTCTTTGTCGCCCCCAAATTCTCAAACTAGAAACAGGCAAAACGATGACAAAAATCTAGAAAATTATAGATTTATTTCAGTTTATTTAGTGTATTGTGTTGTAAGTGTGTCTCATTTTGTTCGCCAAATAAAGTCAAACGCTTTTTCTTTTTTTTATTTAAAGCCAGACTTGGGTTAATGTGGATTTTTTCCCCCCAAAAGCTGACTTATACAATAGCGAGTATCATATTAGACTGCTTCAGGACTGCTTTGGTATTTCAATTGCCTTTCCCTTGCGTGATGATTTTTCTTTGGCTATTTTCATATTCTCCAACTCTGCATGCATTTAGAACTTAGCCAGCTCGATCCCTTCTGGGAAGTAACAACAACAGTAATAACATTTATTAAAAAAATTATATCCATCAGTTATAGTGTTTCGTACTATGCTCGGCATTTTCCATGCCTTCCTTCATTCTCTCTTAATAACAATCCTAAAAAGTAGGCACTTATCCTAATTTTACACAAGGGGAAAATGAGGTTTACAGCTCAGAGAACTTAAGCACAATGTCTGAGGTCACAGAGTTAGGAATTGGGGGAGCAGAATTTGAGACCGTGCTCTTTAGAACTAGGCTATATTGCCACCCCAGGGTTTGTGCATATGGAATAAATGAATGAATGATCAATGAGTTCAATTACAGCAGGGCTTACTTTAAAAAATTATATTTTCTCCACTTCCCCACCCTCCCTTGGCAACACATGATCTATAATAAAACCTCTCGCGGGAGGTAATATACACTGTGATGTCAGACAGTGCTTTATTTGAATTCAGACATGCAGCTTTTTAACTGGGTGATCTTGGCCAAATTATATAACCTTGTTGAGCCTAATATTCTACCACAAAACGGGAATCACAAGTGTACCCACGTCTTATAGTCAATATCTGTATCTACAAGGATATATAGATCTTTCTCAACTTATGACTGGGTTACATCTGGATAAACCTATCGTAAGTTGAAAAGATCATAAGTTGAAATGGCATTTAATGGACCCAGCCCACTGAGCATCGTAGCTTAGCCTCTCACCTTACACGTCCTCAGAACGTTTCCTTTAGCCCATGGTTGGGCAAAATCATCTAACACAGAGCCTATTTTATAATAAAGTGTTAAGTACCACATGTAATATGTTGAATATGGTACTCAGAGTAAGAAACAGAATGGTCATGGGTTCAGAATGGTTGTTGACTTCTGGATTCACATGGTGGCGTGGCTGATTGGGAGTCACGGATCTGTCACTGCCCAGGTCACCAGACAGGACCCTGAGGCATGTCACTACCCCGGGAAGAGATCCAAATCCAAAACTGGAAATACAGTTTCTTCTGAAAGCATATCGCTTTCGTGCGATCGCAAAGTCAAAGCAATCGTAAGTCAAACCATCCTAAGTCCGTGACTACTCACGGTGCCCAACATGGAAAAATGTTTCTTCGTAGGCAGTTAACATTACCACATGGAGTCGTGGGGATCTGGATTTAAACCCTGGTTTCGTTACTTATTTGCTCTGCATCTAGAAGCATGTCTCTGTAAAATGGTATCATAAGATGTCCTTTGGCATCAAGGATTTTTTTTTAAGGTTGTATGGAGGTGTTTCTCAAACATCATCAGGCAGACATTCGGCAGTGTCTGGAGGGAGACCTTTCGTTTGTCATCACTCGGTGGAAGGATATCACTGGCTTCTAGTGGGGAGAGGCCAGGGTACCAGGAAGCACCCTACTGTGCGGAGTTCCCAACAAGGAACTATGTGGCCTCCAATATCTATAGTCCCTAGGGTGATAAATCCTGTTGTATGGACACTTCAAGAGCAAGTGCCCAATAAATGCTAGCTATTATTATTTCCTGCCGTTTTGAGTTTCCATTCCAATCAACCTGTTGTTTCCAGGAGCCCAGTTTTATTTTTATTTTTTTAATGTTTTTATTTATTTCTGAGAGAGAGAGAGAGCGTGGGCAGGGGAGGGTCAGAGAGAGAGGGAGATACAGAATCTGAAGCAGGCTCCAGGCTCTGAGTTGTCAGCACAGAGCTGGACGCAGGGCTCAAATCCATGAACTGTGAGATCATGACCTGAGCCAAAGTCTGATGCTTAACCGACTGAGCCACCCAGGCGCCTCGTCCAGGAGCCCAGTTTTTAAATTCTCTGATTCAACATATGTGAAGCAGTTACATACACATACATGAGACAAATAGAACACGAACATTGTTCCTGTGTGTTCTCGTGAGGACCAGTCGAAAACAATGATCTAGGGGCACCTGGGTGGCTCAGATCAGTTAAGCATATGACTTCAGCTCAGGTTATGATCTCCCAGTCTGTGGGTTTGAGCCCCGGGTCAGGCTCTGTGCTGACAGCTCAGAGCCTGGAGCCTGCTTCGGATTCTGTGTCTCCCTCTCTCTCTGCCCCTCCTGAGCTCACACTCTCTCTCTCTCTCTCTCTCTCTCTCTCTCAAAAATAAACATTAAAAAATTTTTTTAAAAAGAAAACAATCATCTATGCTTGGCAAAATGGAAAATTCATTTTTTTTTTTTTGTGATTTGAAGTCTTGTAGATACATGAATTCAGCAAAGTCACAGGATACAAAGTCAATGTACAGAAATATGTTGCATTTCTATACACAAATAGTGAAGCAAAAGAAAGAGAAAGAAAGAAACTGATCCCATAAAATACTAGGAATAAACCTAACCTGTGTAAGATCTGTATGCTGAAAACTAAAGAAAATATATGAAAGACATTGAAGAAGACACAAAGAAATGGAAAAACATTCCATGCTCATGGACTGGAAAAACAAATACTGTTAAAATGTCAATACTACCCCAAGAAATCTTACTTTAGAACAAAAGTTGAAGATAGTCCTTCTAAAAGCTGTTTTTTCTGCCCATTTTATATTAAAAGAACAATCCTAGGGAGAAACTATTTGTGTTATAATTCATTGCCTATTTCCAGGGCTTTTTATAAAACTCAAGCTTTCCTGAGACAGGAAATGTCCACTTATTACTAATTCTTTTTCCTGAAAAATTATGGTTATGGGTGTCCTTGTCCATTTATGTTTTAGGAGTTAAAGTTGACACATCAGGTCATCCTTTCCCTAAAAATCGGTCTTTATTTTAGTGGATGCTTTCTTCTTTATATAATAGCAACACTTAATCATTGTGGAGAACTTGCAGTGTCTAAGAAAATATTATAAAGAAGGAAGAGGAGAAGAAGAAATAGGCATACTCTTATCACCCAAATACACTCAAAGTATTATTAATATTTTGGCATGTTTCTTCCTTATGTTCTTTATCTAAGCATTTCTTTAAAAATTTTAAGAGCTTATTATTTAAGTAATCTCTACACCTAACATGAAATTCAAACTCATGACCCCGAGATCAAGAGTTATGTGCTCTACCGACTGAACCAGCCAGGTGCCCCTCTAAGCTTTTCTTCAGACAAATGAAATAGAACTACAGAAACAAAATTTATCTTACCCACTTAACATCACAGCATAAGAATTTTGGCATGTTATAAAAAATTGTCCTGGGGCACTGGGTGACTCAGTTGGTTGAGCTTCTGACTTCAACTCAGGTCATGATCTCATGGTTCATAGGTTCGAGCCCCTCATCGGGATCTGTGCTGACAGCTCAGAGCCTGGAGCCTGCTTCGGATTCTGTGTCTCCCTCTGTCTCTGCCCCTTCCTTGCTCTCTCTCTCTCTCTCTCTCAAAAATAAACATTTAAAATTTTTTTTAATTAAAAAAAAGTATGCCCTAATCATTTCTAGGGTGGTAGCCTGTTTCATTATATTAAGGTCTACTTTAAAAAATGTATTCCCCACTTGTAGAAACATTTCGTCATAGAACAAACTTGGTGCAAAATGTCAAAAAGACAGTATACAAAATGAAAATTAAAAATTAACCCCTCGATCCTCCTCAAACTCCCTTTCTTCAGTTGTAACTAGTTTAAACAATTCCATGTGTTTTCCAGTCTGATGTCGGTCGCAGTCAGTAGTGCTGTCTGCCCGCCACCGTCTCGATTCTCCAAGCACAAGGTATGGCTGCACCTGCTGGCTAGTTTACGGTTTGGTTAGACCACGTGACTAGTTCTGGCCAATGAGTTGTGAGTATTTAGTTACCGCTGGTAAGAGCCTCCAGGGCCTTTGTTCCCTTTGCCATGACAACCACCAGCATTCCAGTGAGTAGCTGCCTTAACAGCCACGTACCAGAGAGAAGGAGACACAGAGCAGAGCTCCCGGACAACCCATCGTGGACAGGTACAGTAAGTGAGGAATAACACACACTGTTTCACTGAGGGGGTGTCTGTTACAGCAGCATAACTATCCTATACCTACTAAGAGAGTAGTGTTGATACATATGCGCATACATATACACACAGGCTGACACACATGTATACACAAATTGACTGTAATGTATACATTCTTTTGTGGCCTGCTTTTTTTTTTGCTAAGAAAACTATTTTTTAAAAAAATATATATATTATTCAGAGTTGTTTATTGAGGGGCGCCTGAGTGGCTCAGTTGTTAAGCATCCAACTTTGGCTCAGGTCATGATATCGCTGTTTGTGGGTTTCAGCCCCACATTGGGCTCAGCACTTACATGGATATCTTTCCATGTTTGTACATGTATACTGAACTTATCCTTTCTTAACCTTTAATTTTTTTTTTTTTTTTGAAACAGAGAGACAGAGCATGAACAGGGGAGGGGAAGAGAGAGAGGGAAACACAGAATCTGAAGCAGGCTCCAGGCTCTGAGCTGTCAGCACAGAGCCCAATATGGAGTTCAAACTCACAGATCGCAAGATCAAGATCTGAGCCGAAGGTGGTCGCTCAACCAACTGAGCCACCCAGGTGCCCCATCCTCTCCCTTTTTTTTTAATAAGCTTATTTTATTTTTGAGAGCGATAGCATGAGCAGGGGAGAGACAGAGAGAGAGAGACAAAGGATCCAAAGTGAGCTCTGCATTGACAGCAGTGAGCCCAAAGTGGGGCTTAAACTCATGAACCACAAGATTGTGACCTGAGCTGAAGTCAGACGTTCAACCGACTAAGACACCCAGGCACCCTGACCTTATTATTCTTAACAGTTGCCTATTAATCTATTGTATGGATGTACCAAACTGATTTAACTATACCTATACTTACGAATACTCAGGTTATTCCCAATTTGTCTATTGTTGGAAAACAAGGTGACTAAAAATGTCAACATATATATGTATCCCACACACATCTGGGTATCACAGCTGCGCTTGTGAATACATCTTAGTTTACTTAACTATTCTTTCCCAATTGGACACATGAACCATTTTCAATTTTGGATTATTATCCATGCAGTGGTTTCATAGTTAACATCTGTTTGTCTGAAGATTTAGGATAAGTATTACTGAATTAGAGGATTTGGGCGCTTCCCAGGCTGTTGACATGTGTCAGCATGATTCTTTTATAGATTTCAGTGGGAACTGTCCTGGCATCCATGGTTGTTTTACACTTAGCAAGTAAGGGGATTTGAACTGCCCACCATCAACCATTCCTTCTCCAGGCCATCTGAGACACCAAGAAAAATGAAGCCAGAGATGAAAAACTCAATTAATACTGGCGGACAGACTATTTTTTTTTAGGACTGCTTTTTAAGCTATTAGCATTTTCCTTTATTTTCTTTTCTAGACATTAACAGATTTGTTTTTAAACAAAGAAGCCACAATGGACACTTTACAAAGATGACTTCACACCTCCATTGACCTTGAGCCCAGTAGGACACACCTCCTGGACTTCCAGGGTACTAGCTTTGTCTGCAAGAGTCTGTCTTTTCCCTTCATCTTCCCACTACCACACTTACCCCCTCCGTGTGGCTGTACCATTTACCTACTACCCTCCCTCTGGTAATCATGTAGGGACAGACTGTGATACCCACAAAAGACACCCTTACCTTGTGCATAGCATCTTATTCCCTCGAACCTGCCCAGAAGATAATAATCCTCTCTCTTGCTCCCTTATCATTCACTTGGGCACAGAATGGTGCATAGATTTTTTTTTTTGTTATAGGATAAGTTTAGCCATGAGAAAGCCTCCTCTTCCTCTCTGGAAAGGGAATAAAAACAAGATGCCAAGGGCAACATCTTGTCAGGGTTTCTAACCAAATCAGGAGTCTTCGGAAAATGACAGGGGCTGCAGCTGTCCTATGCAGAAGGATTTGTCTGTGGGACATACCAGCTCCCACCCACACTGGAGATTGTCCCAAGGAAGCTGTGAATTTTTAACTGCTCAGGATTACTGTATTTCTGGCCCCCAGAGTTGTTCGTGGAATGACATTCAGGGTTCCTACTACGCATGTAATGAGCAGAGAAGACTAACTGGGCGAATGAAGTTCAATGGTCTGGCTCGTCATTCAGTGTGGCTGTAGGCTTCCGCAGCTCAGCAAATAAATACGTAGAAACCCAGGTTAGGTTGACGGGCAGGGGGAGTGTCCCTTCCTTGGGATTTCCATTCATTTGTTCTACAAATATTTATTGCATCTCTCCTCTATGCTAGGCACTGCTTTGGGGCCTTGGAATAAGTGAGCAAATAGAATGAAGAGATCTGTCCTCATGAAGCTTACATTCTAGCAGGGGAGATCCGGCGAGATACATAATGGACGGATGATAGAATGTGACAGAAGATGATACTCATGCTATATTTTTAAAAAAGGACACAGTTGAACAGAACAAAGGGGACTGAGCGTGCTAGCGCAGGAGAGAAGGCAGTCTGCATCATCAGGCAGAGTGGTCAGGGTGGTGCTCACTGACAAGGTAACATTTCAGCAAAGATCTGAAGGAGGGAAGGGAGTTTGCCAAGTAGGTATCTGAGGGAAGTGTCTCAGTTGAGAAAAAAGCTAATTAGTTCAGCTAAAGCTAATTCTCCAGGAGGTGGGAGGGGGTGCCTGGGACACCAAGGGGCAGCAAAGAGACCACGCTGTTCCAGGAACAGATTAATAAAGAGGCAGGAAGAGAAGCAGTCAGGGAGGTGATGGGAGCACATCACACGGAGTCCTTTTTTATCACCGTAAGAGCTTTGGATGAAATGGGAGCCCCTGCAAGATTTTGAACAGAGGTGTGATGTGATCCAACTTATGTTTTTAAAGGATCAGTCTGTCTGCTATGCAGAGAATAGACCAGAGGGAGAGAGAGAAGCCAGGAGTCCTTTTAAAAGGCTACCCAGGGGGCGCCTGGGTGGCTCAGTCGGTTAAGTATCTGACTTTGGCTCAGGTCATGATCTCAAGGTTCGTGGGTTCGAGCCCCATGTCGGGCTCTGTGCTGACAGCTCAGAGCCTGGAGCCTGCTTCGGATTCTGTCTCTCCCTCTCTCTCTGAACCTCCCCTGCTCGCTCACTCGCACGTTCTCTCTCTCGCTCTCAGAAAAAAAATAAAAATTTAAAAAAAGGTCTACCTAGGCCAGGGTCGTCATTGGGACCAGATGGTAGAGGAGGAACAGAGAACAGTGAGTGGACTCTGGGTGCATTTTGAGAATAAAGTAGAATGAAGTCAGCCTGATTTTCTGAGCACTTGGATGAGAAGAGATGGCAAGAACACTTCCGGGATTTCATCCCAAACTACCAGAAGGATGGAGTTTTTAGGACACAGGCTGGGACCATTGGTGGGAGAAATGGTTTTCTGGGCGTGGGGGAATCAGGAGTTCATTTGGGGTCCTGTTGAGTTTGAGATGCTTGCTAGACATCCAAATGGAGATGTTAGTAGGCAATTAGATAGATGCATCTAGAATACAGGACAAAGTCTGGGTTTGATACCTGCAAGTGCTCAACTTTTTGGGGGTCTATTTTTTATGAGTCAGAATCCCTGTATTAGGAAACTTTATTGACCACTTTTTTGTTTTGGTTTGTCCATACTTCCACATATCCATCATCAGTAATATTTGATGTTCCAAATGCTGAACCCAAAACCCATTTGACTCTCAGATGCCTTCCAATTCCTTGGTAGAATAATACAATCAAGTTGAGAGGACCTTTTGGTTTAGTTTGGACTTGATAGTTGATATGTTTTCACAGCATGCCTGGTTGAGTACACCAAGATTATTCGTTCGTGAGGCCTTTCTCCAATTCTGTCTGTACTGCGAAGGGAATGTGACAGGAGTCAAACAGCTTCAGAACCAATTATCTGAATTAGATTCTTCGTGCTGGAACTTTTCTGCTGTGAAGAGTAATTAAAATTTTTGGAATCCCCAGATCTTCATTGTAGAATGAGAATAACACCCGTCTCAGAGGGCTGTGGGGGGAAATGCTGAGAATCATCAGTTTTGTGATTTATACCTTGCCCATCAGGTAGGTGTCCAATAAACCTTTCTATTTCCTCTACTCCTCCCCCAACCACCCATGAAATATGTAGCACATAGTAAGTGTTCCATAAATGCTTACTGATTCATCAATACTCAGGCTATTCTCGTTTTTCCCTGCTCAGGAGGGAGAAACATACATTCATTCGTTTGCATCCTACAATGCATATATCACATGGAATGATGTGTTTATCTTCTCACTCTCCACCTCCCCCAGGAAATGTAAGCTCCAGGAAGGTGAGGACTTTCTTTCATTCAATCAACCCCTATATCTCTATTCCTTAGAACTGTGTCTGGGACATTGCAGGGGCCCAATAAATACTTGTGGAATAAATTAGGAGATGCACCAATGATGTACGCAAAGAATCCAACTCTACGATTTCATATACAAAGTGAAACTTCAAGGTCCACAAGCCAAATCACCTTGAAAAATCCGCTGCCCGGAAAAGGATGGGCCTGACATTATTTTCCAGCAGTAAGGTTTTACAAATTAATTGATTTTTCTGACTCACTTAGTGTGGGCTTAAACCATTTATCTGAAAGTGCCGTAATATATTCTTTGAATTACTCCAACAGTAAAAAACACGAAAACTGAACTAATGAGTTCAACACTGAGCCAAGCCAACGTTATTAGTTCCTTGCGTCCACCGGGCTGCACATCACCTCTGCTGTACTGGCTTCAATGCACACTTGGCTCTTCTGCGGACAGATTCAGTGAGGTTTCCCTCCCAGCTCATTGGAGAAAACTGCAGACCTGCCCTTTGGTGATGTCACCGCTTTTCGGATCAGGAAGCTTTGTCAGGGGCCAGCCAGAGCAAAGAAAGCTGCTGCCTGTCCCAGCCCTGGTGCGTCACCCATCCCTGGCCAGATGAGTCACTGCTGCAAGGGCCCAGCCAAATTGAAATCTCCTTGAATGAAAAGGGCCTTGAAATGCAGGAATAGAACACGTTCTTTGAATTTCCACTTGCAATGGGCATAGTAGGCATTTCCAGACACAACACTGGCATTTTCCTCCTTCTGTTGGCTATCCTAAAACCCCTCTGACTCTAAGTGAGATTCAAAGTTATTTCTTAACTCAGCGCTCTGTAAATGTTAAGCATTCCCACACCGTCCCCTCTCACTCTCTGCCCCGTCTCCAGACCACCTCCTGGGCTGTTTTGTTTTGTTTGCTTTTTGTTTTTTGGTTTTTTTACCATAACTCACTTTTGCTACTGAAATATCTTTGCTTAAAAGAAAAATTATTTCATCTCATTCCTCACGATTCTAGTGAGCCGGCATCTCCTGCCACAAATGGACACGTGTGAAATTCGTAGGGAAAAACCAAATAATCCCAATCCCTGTTAGCTTCAGCTGTCTGCTGTGGGCTCTGAGGCTGGGATGTGTGATGTCCCTGACAAAGAGGGAGAGCGGAGAGGGTTAGGTGTTGACGAAACGGAGACCGCAGATGGGGACTGTTCTCCTGAAAGACACAAAAGGGAACACGGCCGGCGGAGCTCCTCTGTGGGGATCTGTTCTGAACCAGCATGTGGTGGTTACGTGAAACTGTACACAGGATCCAACTGCAAGACTCACACGCATGTACAAGCAAAAGCTGGTGAGATGTGAATGGGGTCTGGAGTCTAGATGACAATACTGGGTCGGTGTCAGTTTCCAGGCCTGGACATAGCCCTGCAGCTCTCTACGATGTCACCACTAGGGAAACCAAGTGAGGAGTCCATGCGACTCTACGTACTGTTTGTATAGCAACTTCCTGTGAGCCCACAATTATTTCAAAATAACTTTTTAGGGCACCTGGGTGGCTCAGTCAGTTGAGTGTCTGTCTCCTGATTTTGGCTCAGGTCATGATCTCAGGATGGAGCCCCATGTCAGGCTGAGCATGGAGCGTGCTTAAGATTCTCGGGGCACCTGGGTGGCTCAGTCGGTTGGGTGTCTGACTTCAGCTCGGGTCATGATCTCACAGCTCATGAGTTCGAGCCCCGTGTCAGGCTCTATGCTGACAGCTCAGAGCCTGGAGCCTGCTTCCGATTCTGTGTCTCCCTCTCTCTCTGCCCCTCTCCTGCTCATGCTGTCTCTCTCTCTCTCAAAAATAAATAAACAATAAAAAAAGATTCTCTGTCTCTCTTTCTCTCTGCCCTCTCCCCAGCTCACACACTCTCTCTCTAAAATTAAAAAAAAAAAAAATTGTTTAAAAAGTACTGGCTCCCTTATGTGGCCTGGTACACGTGCACCACCAGCTGCTACATGTCCCGCTTTGGGCAAGAAGTGGTTTCTCATTTTCTGGAGGTAAAATCTCTGAAGAAGATGCATGTATCAGACTTCAAAAGCCTTGAGAGATTTATGCATGTAGTAACGTAGGAAGAAAGCCAGCATTGTGGTAGGACCTTACGCTTGGGGATCTGGTCAGAGTTGGCGTGAATGTCAGGTTCATTCTACCAGTGGAGAGACTTTGGGCAACAGGGAACCCCTCAGAACCTACGTTTCTTTGGCTGAAAAATGGGGACAAGAATATAGCACCTTTATCACAGGGCTTCTTTCTCTCTGTCTCCTTTTTTCTAATATTTATTTATTTATTTTTGAGACAGAGAGAGAGAAGAGGGAAGGGCAGAGAGAGAGGGAGACACAGAATCCAAAGCAGGCTCCAGGCTCCAAGCTGTCAGCACAGAGCCTGGTGCAGGGCTCCAACGCCCAAACTGTGAGATCATGACCTGAGCCAAAGTCTGACACTTAACCAACTGAGCCACCAAGGTGCCCCTATCACGGGGTTTCTAAGGGACTTATATGAAATAATTTGGGAAAAGCACTTAGCATACTGCATGGCACTTAATAAGTGCTCAATAATTATTTCCTTTGTCTTATTATCTTCTTTCTCTTATTCTTGCTTTTCTTCCTATCATCACCACCATCACTGTAGTAGGCTGAAACGTATCCCCCCAAATGATGTATTCAAGTCCTAACCCCCAGTACCTATGAAGATGACCCTATTTGGAAGTGGGGTGTCTGTAGATGTAATCAGGGTAAGACGAGGCCGTGCTGGATCGGGACGGGCCCTACCCCAGCGACTCGTGTCTTTATGAGAACAAGAGGGAGATCTGGAAATAGACGTGCTGAGGTCACATGGGGAAGAATTCAATCTGAAAATGGAGACAGAGATTGAGAATTACACTGACATGAGCTAAGGATACCAAGGGTTGTCAGAAACCATGAGACATGAGCAGAGACAAGGAAGGGCTCTTGTCCCTAGAGCCTTCAGAGGGAGCATGGCCCGGACGATTCCTTGATTTCTGGCATCTAGGACTCTGAGATGATGAACCTCTGTGTGTGTTTGTTTGTTTTTTAATGTTTTATTTATTTTTGACAGAGGGAGAGTGAGTGGGGGAGGGGCGGTGAGAGAGAGAGACAGAGATCCAAAGCGGGCTCTATGCTGACAGCGGCGAATCTGATGCGGGGCTCGAACTCACAAACTGTGAGATCATGACCTGAGCTGAAGCTGGATGCTCAACCAACTGAGCCCTTTAAAACCTCTGTGTTTTAAAGCTACCCAGTTTGTGGTAATTTGCCATGATGGCTCTAGAAAATAAATACAGCCATCATCATCACTGGTCAATCCTCTTCTTCCCAGTATCTTAGTATCTATCATATTGTCATTTAAAAGGCTCCGCAAAGTTCTAGAAAAAGAAGCCCATTCAACTTTCTCTGCTCTGTGTTTTGAAACGTGTTTGACCAGAAACCAGCATTTGCACGAATAAAGGGGAACGGGCATTTGGGAAATACTGACTTCATCTCATTTCACCATTAAGAAAACTACCAACCAGTGAGAGGGGCTGACTTGCTCCAAGTCATAGAGTAAAAGCAATGGAATTACAACTCGGACCTCCACTCTCCTCTCCACTCTATTTTTTTTTTTAATGTTTTATTTATTTCTAGGAGAGAGAGAGACAGCGTGAGCAGGGGAGGGTCAGAGAGAGGGGGAGTCACAGACTGAAACAGGCTCCAGGCTCTGAGCTGGCAGTCAGCACAGAGCCCGACGTGGGGCTCGAACCCACGAACCGCGAGATCATGACCTAAGCGAAAGTCGGACGCTTAACCGACTAAGCCACCCAGGCGCCCCTCTCCTCTCCACTCTAATCACAACAAAAAATAATCATCATCGAGCCACAGGATTTTAACTGTCAAGGTCTCAGAGCTCAGCTAGTCCAAAGCCTTGTTGGGGAAACTGAGGCCCAACAGGAAGTGATTTCCCAAAGTCACAGAGCAGGCCACTGCATTTTCTGGCACACAGAAAATGTACACCCCAAATAACCCAGTAATCCACCTAACATAATAGATGATGCTGCCCCTAGTGGCGGTGCTCCGCAATAGATGCTACCACGGCACAGATATTTTTGAAAGTAGTATTTCCCAACGAAGATGATAAACCACAGACCACACAGCTTACCAGAGGTAAAGCAAGGTTAACTCATTAATATATTAGATTTAAGTTTATGATTACACTGACTCTGCTATGGAACATTAATCATCGATACCAAAATATCCCTTTTAGGCAATTTTTTTTTTTTGTCTAGGTTAGTACAATATTATTCCACATCTAGAGCTAATAATTTTCTACTGGATTTTAATACATAGTAAAATGTACTTAAAACAATCAAAAGTAATGTGCTCCCTCCAACAAAATGTACTTTAAAATCACTTTCCATATATGAACAATGAAAAATATTTATATTTTGTCCCACCAAAGAAAATAATATAGAATTGAGGCATATGTTATATAATTGTGGAGGTTATGTGCCAGCCAAAAAGGCAGTAACACAGAAAATCTGGGTTTTTTTATATTTCTATCTCAATGGGGAATCTTTGTTTTCCCTTTTTTTTAATTATTTTTTAATGTTTATTTATTTTTTAAAGAGAGAGAGAGAGAGCACAAGTGAGAGACGGGCAGAGAGAGAAGGAGACAGAATCTGAAGCAGGCTCCAGCCTCCTAGCTGGCAGCACGGAGCCTGATGCAGGCTGAACCCACGAACCGTGAGATCATGACCTGAACCTAAGTCAGACACTTAACCGACTGAGCCACCCAGGTGCCTGCTTTTTCTTTTATATCATCTTGCCCTTCACTTACTTCCAAGTCAGTACTTCTGTGAATTTCAGGAAAAAGTTGACTGGTAAACGTTCCTGAACACCCTCTCACACACACACCCCCCCCCCCACTCATGAGGAGTCAATCTAGACATACAGGCATGTGATCTATTGTTTTGAAGACTGCAGTAAGGGAACAGGTCTGAGAAGTTGCTTTTCTGCAAAGATCAGGTTCAGCTTCCTCAACTGTAGACCGACAAGGCTAACCACGATTAGTCGATCACGTATTTGGCAAAGAGCTTCAGAAGAGAGCACGGCCCTCACTCAGGTCTTGCTGTCTCCTCAGAAATGGAACATGAGCCAGGCCAGGGGGAAGAAAAGAGCCAATCCACGTTGATGCTTCCTTGCATATCTTTCTCGGAGAAAAGCTGAAGGAAACCAAAAATTTTTGTGCTAAATAAGCACTGGAAATCCTTCATCTTTTAAAAATCCTAACAGTACACGTGAGAAAGATGCTAACCTCGTTTTATAAATGAGGATCCTGAATTTCAGAGAGGGTCATCTGCGCTTGGTTTTATATTATCAACGAGCATTTACTGAGTACTCAAGTGCCAGGATCTGTAGACGTTGCTTACGCATATTATTCCTGTTTAATCTTCAAAATCGGTGTGGCATCAACCATCTTTCTGAAAAAAGAGACCGAGACTAGAAACGGTTCAGACTTTGACAGACTTAGGGAGCCATTGCTAAGGGTCCTTGGGACAAGTCGAGAAATAAGAGACAAGAGTCAGAAACACGAAGATTAAAACACCGTGTGCAAGACCAGGGGTCCCAGTGAATGAAGATCCTTCCCCAGCGGGTCACACGTCCAAACTCACATCTTTAGTCAGCAGAGGAGGTGGGATTTGAACTCCATTCTGTGACTCCAAAGCCCAGAATCTTA